GGCAAGAAATTGTTCCTCATGTCCAGCAGCTTTAACATGTTCATTTTGTTCCTCTATTTATTCTGCTTCTGTCATCTGGTGAAGGAGTGCTGGGAAAAAGCAAAATGCAACCACATGGTTCCCACAAAAGGATTAAAAAAAAGAATAAAATAAATAAAACACAGCTGAATATTTCTTGATCTAACAAGTTGATGGTTGGACTTGATGATCTTAAAGGTCTCTTCCAACCTAAAGGATTCTATGATTCTCAGTGTGTGTGGGCTGAACCATTCCTGTTGCCTTCAATCTTTCACTAAATTAACTTTAATTAAATATTAACCCTGTGTTGCCTGAGCACTTTTGGGGCACAAACTGAGCATCTCTGGCAGGAGCTCTGACCATCACTGGCCCAAATCCAGTGTTGCTGTGTTTCAGTCACCTCTGAGGGTGCCCTGAGCTGACTCCTCTCCTCTTCTTCCCCAAAACAGATGCATGATGGACAGTGATGATGAAGTTCGGGACAGAGCAACCTTCTACCTGAACGTGCTGCAGCAGAGGCAGCTGGCACTGAATGCTGCCTATATTTTTAATGGTCAGTGATAGCCAGCAAAGGGGTCCCAGATGTTGTTGCACCTTCTCTGTTATGGGTGGGCCTTGTTCTGCTAAGAATAGTTGTCTGGAATGGAGCTGGGGTCAGAATAACTAGAAAGGACAGAACTGCCTGTGGGTTTTTTGGTGTCTCTAGTGCTTTCCTGAGAAGTAGTTGTGCTGAGAATGGCAGTTGGAGCAAAATCCCTGAACCCCAGTGTGGTGGGGTTGGGAGGAACCTCTGGAGATCACCTCATCCCACCCCCTGCTCCAGCAGCTCACCCCCAGCAGGGTGCCCAGGGTCACACCAGCCACGTTTGGGATCTCTCCAGAGCAGGAGACTCCACAGCCTCTCTGGGCAGCTGCTCCAGGCTCGGCCACCCTCACCCCAAAGAAGTTTCTCCTCCTGCTCAGGTGGCACCTCCTGGGTTCCAGTTGGTGCCCGTTGCCCCTTGGCCTGTGGCTGGGCACCACTGAGCAGAGTCTGGCCCCAGCCTCTTGCCTTGTGGGGGCCCTTTAGCTCTTGCTCAGCACTGCTCAGATCCCCTCTGAGGCTTCTCTTCTCCATTATTGCTGGCATTGGTTATGAAAATGTTTCATGGTCTGGTTGAAAATCCATGCAAGGAGAGTATTTAATGTATTTAAGACTATTTCAAGAGGACTTTTCTGGAGTGAACTGTTCAGCCTGTAGCACTCTCTGAAATGCCACCTTTCCATGTCAACTTCAGAGAACTTTTTTTATATTCTATGCAGCATCTTGAACTCAGTGTCTGTTTGTGTTTACTGAGAGATGAAGGAGCTTTTATCAGCTCTTTATCAACCAAAATCCACCCCATATTTGTCTAGACTCTTCACAGTTTTTCTCTGTGCCAACAGATGGCTGCAGTGAGGAGCTCTTTAATTAATCTTCCCTGTTTATATCTCAGGTAGGAGGTAACTGAGACACAGAGAAGCTTTTCAGACTCCAGCACCTTCATGCTGTTGGTGCAGTGGAGAGTCCAAAATTCACCCTGTTCATTTCTGAACCCTGTATCATAGCACCTGTAGGTCTCTGATTGTTCCTGCTACTAAAACTGAATCTTCTGCCTGTGCTTTGACTTTGCAGGCTTGACAGTCTCTGTTCCTGGGATGGAGAAAGCCCTGCACCAATACACCCTGGAGCCTTCTGAGAAACCTTTTGACATGAAAACTGTTCCCCTGGCCACTGCACCCATCTTTGAACAGAAAGCAGCAGGTACTGCTCAGGCTGTGGGGGAGGCTGAAAGCATCAGGGGCACTGCACTGAAACTTGGGCTGCCACCTTGGTAGGGCCAAGGATCTTCAGAGATAGAAGACAGCACTTCTTCCAGAGCAAGAGGGCAAGAAGGTTGTTCCTCATTCTGCTGATCTGGTTACCAGGGAGGAGTTTGTCCCTAGTCAGAATTGATTAGTTCATAGATATTTAGAAAAAAGTAATTCCAGAAGCACTTGGTCCCTTTGCTGGCTTTCTTCCATGAGCTTACACAGCTTTTTGCACAACTTTTCTTAAAAGTTTGGGTATTTTTTTTCCCCCCCTTTCTCCTTCAACCAATTTTTCTGGACCCAAAAATGGCTTCTTTATCATGACTCAAAACATCTCTCCTTCCATCCAACACTGCCATGCAGAAAAGATACCTCAGTGTGTTTGAGGAACCAGGCTGGCCAGGATGTGCAGCAGAAGGTGTGAGACATGAGAGGTTATGAAATGTTTAGTGGTGAGCTAGAGGCATTTAAATCTCCTGTGTGGTGTGGTTGACAGCAAGGTGTCTGGTTTTTTGTCTTCTCAGAGGTTGCCCTAGTGACCAGCAAGCCAGAGAAAGTGGCTCCTTCACGTCAGGATATATTCCAAGGTATGAGAGGAGATGAGTGCATCTCCAGCAATTAAATCCCAGAATGATTTGGGTGGGAAAGGGAACATTTAAGGATCATCCAGTCCAACCCCCTGCAGGGAGCAGGGACAGCCCCAACTAGAGCAGGTTGCTCAGAGCCCTGGCCAACCTCCCCTGGGATGGTGCCAGGGATGGGGCAGTGACCACCTCTCTGGGCAGCCTGGGACAGGGGCTCAACACCCTCAGGGTCAAAAACTTCTTCCTTATAATCATTGAACCATTAAGGTTGGAAAAGACCTCTAAGATCATCAAGTCCAACCACCATGACCACTAAGCCATATCCCCAGGTGTCATGTCTACACATTTTTGAACCCCTCAAGGGATGGGGACACTGAGTGCTCATCATCTTCTTTTCCATCCTGTGCAGAACAACTGGCAGCTATTCCTGAGTTCAAGAGTTTGGGTCCTTTGTTCAAGTCTTCAGAGCCAGTGCAGCTCACAGAAGCAGAAACTGAGTATTTTGTTCGTTGCATTAAACACGTGTTCCCAAATCACATTGTTTTCCAGGTAAGAGAACTTAGTCTTGCACCAGGAGTTGCAGCAGGAGTTGGCCCTTAAAGGTGTAGCATAAAGAGCTCTGTCACTGTGCCCTGCAGAGAACAGCTTCCCTCCTGGGGAGCTGTGAGGAAGAGCTGAAGAGGGTTGTGCACTGCTTGCCTCAAGGATCAGATAAGGATGGAGGTTACAGGATTCAGAATCATGGAGTTGTTTGGGTTGGAAGAGACCTTGAAGGTCGTGGAGTCCAACCCTCCCCCAGCACTGCCAGGTCCCCACTGCCCCGTGTCCCTCCCCCCACATCTCCACGGCTTGGAAACCCCTCCAGGGGTGGGGACTCCACCACTGCCCTGGGCAGCCTGGCACAGGCCTCCACAGCCCTCCAGGGCAAGAAATTGTTCCCAAAATCCAACCTCAACCTCCTCTGGGGCAACTTGAGGCAGTTTCTTCATGTCCTGTCTCCTGTTCACAGAATCATAGAATAGAAACATAGAATCATTAAGGTTGCAAAGGACCTGTAAGATCATCAAGGCCAACTATCAACCCAACACTCCCATGACCACTAAAACATGTCCCCAACTGCCATGTCCACATGTTTTTTGAACCCGTGGAGGGGTGGTGATTCCACTGCCTCCCTGGGCAGCCTGGGCCAAGGCCTCACCACTCTGGCAGGAAAGAAATCCTGCCTCATATCCAACCTAAACCTCCCCTGGAACAAGTGAAGCCCATTGCCTCTCAACCTATTGCTGATCACCTGGGAGACGAGACCAACCCCCACCTCACTTGTGTCTTCTTTCAGGGAGTTGTTGGGAGCCAGAAGGTCTCCCCTGAGCCTCCTTTGCTCCAGGCTCAGCACCCCCAGCTCCCTCAGCTGCTCCTCCCCACACTTGGGCTCTAGACCCTTCCCCAGCAGCTCCGTTGCCCTTCTCTGGCCACGCTCCAGCCCCTCAAGGGCCTTCTGGGAGGGAAGGGCCCAAAACTGCCCCCAGGATTTGAGGGGTGACCTCCCCAGTGCTTAGCAGAGGGACACAGTCACCTCCCTACTCCTGCCATGATCTTGTCTGTTAAAGAATTCTACTAAAATGAGAGAGAAAAGCTGTTTAGTGAGAACAGTCTTGCTCTAAGATGCAGGATATCTGCTTTATGCTGTGGAGGATTTATTGTAGTTGATTTGAGGGAATAATTCTTCATTTAGAACTACTTCCTTGGTGTTCAAACCCTTTCTGGTTTCTTCCTCTGCAGTTTGACTGCACAAACACCTTAAATGATCAGCTGCTGGAGAGAGTGACGGTGCAGATGGAGCCGTCGGACGCTTACGACGTCATCTGCTGCATCCCAGCACCCAGCCTGCCTTACAACCAGCCAGGCATGTGCTACACCCTCGTCCAGATCCCCCAGGATGACCCTACTGCAGGTACCTCTGCTTGTGAAAAGTGTTCTCTGAAAAGGGTGCAGTCTAATACACTTTTTATTTCAGCTGTGGTACTGGAGGATTTGCAAATGGGACGTTAAAAGGGGATTGGAGAGGATGCAGGTAATGGGAAAGGGAATTTACTGCCTTCAATCCATGAAAAGAGCACATTTGAAAACCCAAATTTGTGTGGGTTGTATTCAAGAATAGAGTTGGTAAAAGGAGACTGCAAGTAGAACACAAATATGAGTAGTTTGGGCTTACATAGGCAATTTTTAGACAATTAGAAACAATCATGAAATGTAGGAATGAGCAGAAAACTTCCCTTTCTTAGTTCCACACTTAAACTCCATTGGATTTGCAGTTGGTTTAGCACAACCCAGCCCATCAGCAGGGTGGATTTCTTGGTTATTGCTGTAATACCAGGGAAGATGAGAACTAGTCTGAATTCCCTGAGCTCTGGTTTTGGCTCATAACCCCCTTGTCAGAAACCCTGGTGGAGTTTTTCCTGGGGGGTAATGCTGGCTGGATCTCAGCACTGCCCTCTGTGAGTCAGTGGGTCTGGGCTTGGTACAGCATGGCCCTGACATGCTCTTGAGATCTCCCTTTGCCCTTCAGCTTAATGTCTGGGGGGAGATTTTAATTTGAAATTGAAAAGCACTCTGCCTACAGCCACGTCTTTATTTTCTGGGGCAGAGCTAAGGTGTGTTGTTTCCCATCTCCTTTTTGGGAAGGGAAGGCTCAAGAGGAGGAAACTACCCCACTGACCTACAGGTTTGTTTTCTCTCTTCCCCAGTTGCTTGCACTTTTAGTTGCACAATGAAATTCACTGTCCGGGACTGTGACCCAAACACGGGGGTGCCAGAGGAGGATGGATATGATGATGAGTATGTGGTGAGTTCACAACTTGAGCCTTTTGCCTCATCCCTAGTGCTGAGTACACATAGTGGATCTTGGGTTCACACTCCCCTTTCAGAGCTGAAGCCAGCAGGAGAGACCAGCAGAGCTGCCTGCAACAGGATTTCACTGCAGCTTGGAACTTCAGGTCCTTCCCCCAAACCTTCCTTCTGCCAGAGGTTAGTTTGGCTTTAGTGTCTGGTGGACCTCTAACTGCAGCCAGTGGTGAGGACAAGCAGGAAGGAAGAGCTTCCATTGTCCATTTTCACAACTGTGGGGCAGTCTTTCTCTGCACCCCAAACATTTGCACTTGTTTAGTGTGCACGTGTCATCAAACAGAAGCCCAGCATGGTGGGGATGGGAGTGACCTCTGGAGATCACCTCATCCCCCCCCCTGCTCCAGCAGCTCACCCCCAGCAGGGTGCCCAGGGTCACAGCCAGGAGGGTTTGGGATCTCTCAGAGCAGGAGACTCCACAGCCTCTCTGGGCAGCTGCTCCAGGCTC